GCGAAACTGTGTGTTTCCCCCCCCCCCCCCCCCCCCGAGTTGGCAACTATGCCTTAATGCTTGAAAGTATAAAATAAACTTTGTATTTTGATCACTTCAGCAAGACAAACTCTTTGAAATTGTGTACAAAAGAATGTCTGTACGGTATCTTTTTGGGAAAGTTATGCGGTTACTTCAGCTGCAAGAGACGGTGTCACACTAGAGGGCAACACAAAGCACCTATTTAGACATGATAAAACTTGTACTGAACATGGGTAAAACAAAACCACTTTCCTCCCAGTCGTCTTGTCAGCAAATCAGTTGTGCTTACTCCGTGGTCAGGCACTGTTTGGATTCCAGGTTTTGTGACCAAGTGGCTTAGTGTTTTTTCCAGCTACATTGGCAGCATTGGTTTTGTTGAGAATCTCTCCAATATTTTGAGAGCCTAGGAAGAAAACGTAGGGATGTGGAAATGTATGATCTAACCATGTTGTACGGCTTAAAGATCTGTATTTCCAGATGTGAAATGCCTGTCTTGTCATGTGTAAATATTTACTCCAGTCACCATAAAAGCAATGAAGCCTGTTCATCAGCACTTCTGAGCTTGTTGTTTACAAAATGTGTTGCAGGAGCATTGAACTCCATAGTTTTCATGCCAGAAGAGTCAGGCATGGAGTCCTTTTTAAAAAATTCTTTCTATTAAGTGTTTTAACCTTCTGGAAGCCTAAAACTATTCCCTGTGAACAAAATTCTCACTCCACAAGCACTAATTCTAGTGTGTTCCCTGAACCACTTCGTCTTGGAGCAGGGGTTGGCACCATATGGCAAGTGGGCCAGATCCTGCCCATCTGTGCCTGCACTGAGGCCAGGAAGCAAGGTGCTGCACCAGGGCCAGGCAGCTGGAAGTTTTGCCTGAGCCACTGCTGCTTTCTTGAGACCCCTGCTCCCCAGCTGTAACATGGGTGCAGCTTCTAGCTGGTGGAGAGCTGTATCGCAATGAGGAGGGCAGAGAAGTGGTTGCAACAAAGACACCGCTTCAAGCTGCTCTGCTTTGGTGCAGCTCCTCACCACCTGAAAGCTGTCATGACCAGGGACTGGGGAAAGTGGTGGCGAGGCAGGCACAGCTCTTAGCTCCTCGGCCCTAGCAAAGCTCCTTGGTTTACTGCTGCATATTGTTTAATATTACTGTGCACTTCACGGTGCTTATCAAGTACTGGGTCAGACATGGTAGGCAGGATGGGTTTGCTTTAAATATGTAAGTAGGAAACCATGATTGAAATGATCAATTTTTATCTTGTTTTGCCTTGTTATACTCCTAAAGATTAGTTGGTAACCATAAAAATAGTACTGAATTTAGAGTAAAGATTCTATTTTAGTTGCCAATCAATGTATTTAAATCTGGGTTAGTCCTATAGATACGCATCTAATTAAGAAATTATATACCATGTTTACTCGAATACAAGATGACTTTGTTGTTGTCCCCCCCCC